ACGGCTGACTATTTATAAATAACTAAATAAATAAATGAACGTTTTATTGCTCAGCAGTGCGAGGCACAGACCAATTGGGTGGTCTTATCAACATGTACAACGTGATCGCATAATATAGTTAGTTATTCGTCTTTTGATCAATGGTTCCCAAATGGGTCTTTGAAATGATTAGCAGTTTGGAAAAAGTAGAGAGATAAAGAAACTGGGAACAATAATAAATGCAGATTTCACGGTAAGTTCAAGTAAAGTAATACGGTCATCCATGCAACTGTCCCCAGGGACTTGCTTCCATCCAGGGTATTTCCACGATGGGTTTCACCCGCACTTCCATGCTCCAATTGGCTCTGTGCCTGTGTGGCAAGATAGTAAATAGGCCATTACAACTAGGTATCAAATGTCTTTTTTTAGGGCTGTATGTGCATACATTATGGGCAATGAAGCCTCATCCCGTTCTGTCATGCGGATCAATCAGGTATGGTACTTTTTTGTTTTAAGCCAGCAAGTCAGTAGCAATATGACTTGCATGGGTATATTTTTTATTTTGGAAGCTGTAATCCATCACCACAAGAGATCAGCCCAGTCCTGACCAACAATGAAACAAAGAACAAGATAAAGTATGAGGAATTATAAACCATAATGATGAATACAAACGCTTGCCGATAGGCCAGTCACAATTTAATGGAAAATCTTGGCGAGTGACGACGATAGTACGGAGACATCAGCTTGAAAGGCGTAGTGCATCTACGAACCAGTGCGTCAAAAGAGAAAACAGAATTGATTGGACGGATTGATAGGAGTATCGTTCACAAATATATACTCAAAAATGCAACTATATGTAGGTAATCTTATATTATTGAAACGAATAGAGGATATGGTGACTTTCATATGTATCCAGGACCTTTCTCTACAAATAATCTAGAGTCACTGTTTGGCTTAGTGCTGACCAGGTATTTGCAACAGTCAGGTGAATATTAATCATGCGTCTGAATTGTGCATAGGTAGTGCAGTTTCTAACACTAGACGGAAGTTTGTTCCATATCAACGCATATGTTACGGAGAAAAAATTTGAGCGTTTTGTGCGAGAATTGGGTATTTTCACTGTGCGCTCGCTGTTTCTTAGTTCATAGCGCAAACAAATCTGAAACTCGAGTTGTGGCTGAACAGTGATTCTTAACCCGAATAGTAAGCGGTATAAAAGACACAGATTCAGTTTGAGTCTGCGTTGCCATAGCGGCTCCAGATTTATCGCCTCGCAACGCTCACGGTATCGCATAGTATTAGGCATGTTTAAAAACCTCTTTGTGAATGATCGTTGAATGTTTTCAAGTGCGATAATATCCACTTTTCTCAGATTACTATGCACTATCGTACAGTACTCAAGATTCGGCCTAACACATATTTTAAAGGCTTGAAGCCTGGAATCCCTCAAAATAAGAGTTCGACTTATATAGGCGATCACTTTTCTGGCAGAAGCCTGCAAAAAGCTAACATGCTCTAAAAAATTAAATGAGGCAGAATATCTTAGACCCAGGTCTCGGACTGAGCCACACACAGGAATAGGGGTATCGTTTAATGTAAGGATGTTCAGAGTGGGGCCACAGCCGTAGTACAATAGATTACTCTTGTCAGTGGCGAAGAGCAACTTCTAGGAGTTACTCCAGAGCTCCAATGCGGACAAGTCAGACTGAATATGGGCCAAGTTAGGACTACATTGCCCAGGGGCGGGACAATACACAATTTTAACATCATCAGCGAAAAGGAACGGCTTCCCATACGAGATTTCATCAAGTAGATCGTTGAAATAGGTGGAGAATTAAAGCGGGCCTAATACGCTACCTTGAATCACTCCACTAGAGATTGTAGTGGCTACAGTTGTATACTAACCGATTTTGACTACTTGCTTTCTACCCTCGAGGTAAGAAGACAACCAATCTAGAAGCGAATTTGTGATACCATAGGACATAAGCTTCCGCAACAATAAATTGTGTGGGACACGGTCAAAAGCCTTTTGGATGTCAAGAAATCTTACGATGATGGTATTTCCGGCTTCTCTTGCTCTAGTCACATAATCAAAGTAATCTAACTGACAGGTAGTACACGACCTACCTTCCAAAAAACCGTACTGATGTTTATTGAGAAGGCTCATAGAACTCAAATATTCTATTATGCTTTCTTTAACTATCCTCTCCATGATTCTGGAGATAATAGATGTGTGGTGGATTGGGCGGTAATTTTTTACATCTTGCATAGATCCGATTTTGTGTCTTGGTATTATAGTTGATTGCTTCCAGTGTATAGGATACTCCCCATTGAACATGGAAAGTGTAAATACATTAAACAAAAACAGGGGATGTCTGGACCTCCTTGCTTTATCAGTATTGGAGGGATGTTGTCAGGGCCTGGTGAGCATGATGGCCGAACTAATCTGAGTTGGCGACATATGTCATTAAGTGTAAATTCAACAGTTTGGAGTGTATTTCTGCCTCTGTGGATCAGCTTGAGCTGAGGATCTTCATTTGCATTAGTGCTATAAGTAGACATGAAGTAATCATTGAAGATCGAACATATGATTGCACAGTCGGTTATGGCAGTTCCATCAGAGTTTACAATGATGTTTATACAACTTGATTTTCTATTCTGCCTACGGTCCAAAGTTTTGAGATGCAGCCTACCACGTTGGCGCCCTTCAGTGCCATCAGTTCTTTAGAGCATAGCATTTTGTGGTGGTCTTGGTATAACGCTGTGAGCCACAGTGATCCACGAGAAGCGCTTGGAAAAGCTGAGAAGAATTCATATTCACAACTATAAATTTGAAGTCAATTTATGTATTTATATATTTATATATTTCAGTATTTTGTAACATTGGATTTTACGGTTGTTTTAACCTTCGAAACGTTCACTTGTTTTACTGACTGCACATCCGTTGACACAAACCGTTTTGGTGAGTACCTCACTGCACGTTTCTCGCTCTGTCTGATTCGCTTCCTATTCTTGTAGCCTGCACAATATACTTTGGGTTCAGTCGCCTCCGACTTCTATACTGTCGTATTTGACACGTCTTACGTGTCATTGCTTACCGACTAGTATCCCAGACTCCGCCCAACAAGTGCAAATTTAGAAAATCCACTGCTCCGTTGACAACGTACCACCATGTACCCTACTCGCACCAGAGCCGATAATTAGAATGCAGTCTAGACTGTTGCAAGCATACCAGTTGGATCAGACACATCTGTGGTCAGTACTGAGCTATCGAAATTCGTAATTTGAACGAAACACATTTCAGAGTCCGTTTAAGCCTAGCCATGTGGTCTGTCTAAAGCGGAGGGTAAACCTACTAGGTGGATATGCAAGACCTAATCGATAATGAAGGCTGCACGTCATGAGTTAGGTGTTGTTGAAATTAACTACTAGAATTCTTAAAGCGGACGGTATTACTTCCTCAAAGTGTGTGCAACTTGCCATCCGAAAGCCATCTGAAGGGAATTTGGCAGTTGTAGATAACCTATGTTAGCTTTGAGCATTATAAAGGTTAAAATTGCTTAGGTTAAACCCACTTGGACACCAAGTCCCCAATGCGTTATAGCGTAGAACGCGGACGCCTCATCCTGTGCTCACTTGTTCCCACGATATTCTAGCACGGTTGCTCGACGACTTATCAACAGCCACGTGAACCACGCGCTTCTAAATTCTTACTCATGAGTTGGTTAGTTTTCTATAATCAAGCAATTAAAGTTCCTTGCGCTTGCTACTGCAAAGCAACATGTCTACTGCTCACCATAACACTTGCGCATATTAAGGAAACTAGGGTCCCGCGCCGGACGGATATTTCCGCAACGAATCGGCATTTGCAGAGGCGTACCAAATGGGGGACGGGAGCGGTACGCCCCGTGCGGCATATGACAGGGTGGGAATTTTAGCACCGCTACGGGTTCGATGCCAAATATAAAGGGGAAACATTCCAGAGTAGCTGAGTGTTGTATAGTTTTATGTTACCATATATATGACCAAGAACAACATTGGGCTATGTGCCACACCTGTGCTAACGTCCTTCCTAGCGATCCGCTTACTTATTCCATTGTGGTCATTGCCACCACATTTGACTCAGTGTCTCACAACCATCATCAATTTTGTCAAAAACTAATTTGCGCTTTACTCCAAGCCGACTGTGTGATCGTCACGCACCGATTCTGCCCTCGGTCAAGGCGAAAATTATACCACAACCCAGGACGTCAAAAAATCTGCTATGCCCCTGGGTGCTTCTCATCAAAACATGCGACTTCGACGCGTAACTATGTCCCACACCCCTCCATTCTTGTAAATTGCACATGCGCACGAGTTGAATCTGACCCCTTCGAAAGTCATGCTTTGTTAATTTGGGTGAACACAAATTGTTCCATGGTTCCGCTTGCTTTTCCCATTGTTTACCATCTTAACACAAACTCCCAACTTTGAAAGTTTTTCAAAAGCATTCTACTAAACTTCTGCTCAACCTTCATTCTAACCAACCTGGTAGGAAGCCGTAAGCAACAGATTCGACACAAGTGCATGCGTCGAGTTATAATGCAAACTGGCGCAACAAGTAGCAGATTAGCTTATTCACATTTCCGAATGGCAACCTCAGAGTCAGTATCATTTTGTATACCGGCACGCTTGGCGTATTCCATCTCACTACGTATCGTACTTCACAGTGTTGCAATTTCCCGCAGTAGCGAAATCCTAGGCAATTGACTTCGTGTTGACATTTAACATCTGGCGCCGAGCTGTAGAGCGTACGCACACGTACAAGTTCAATGCGTTTCTGATCTGGCCGTTTGTGACAGAAATCACTTACAGCGAAAAGTAACCTGACGGACCTAAACTTGTGAAACCCATCCATTAGCGTTACACATGAGGACACAGGAATTCACATAGTTTATTTCCTATACAAATTGCGCAACACAATTTACAGAGCAATTGTTCATTCACTGCAAGCATAACGTAATTGATGATACTGCGATATCTCATTCGGGGCATGGAATGTCATTCCCAACACGTCGAATATTCGATGGATCCCGGTTGGTCGATCTAACGGAAATCGGAAAACGCACGCAAGCGACCAGAGCGCATTGACTGTCGTACAACTTGTAAGTTGCGTTGAAATTAAACTGAAATGCAAATCATGAAGCCGATGTTAGGATGGGAAAATCATAATCTCACAAATGAATCTCGGTAAGCTACATCAACAGTGGATTGGTGAATGTCATCGCACAACCATTGTTGAGAGGCACAAGGTTACAACCAATTGTGTGCGGGGTTCCACTTACCTGAACGTCAGGTACCCAGACTTCTGTATTGTAAGTGTATGGTCCAGGGCGAATTCGTGTACATCCATTTTTGATTTGGTCACAGATATTGTAAATGCCAGCCACATCCGGATCACAACTGGTGCGTGACAAATGTGTCAGACACATCTTCGCCTTGCCTGAAATCAGATCCTCTGTAAAGAAGTGAATATTCGTGCATCAATGTGGATGGGGCGGGAATGTGTGGGAGAGAGCATGATTGTTAAGACAACTTGAAAGGATTTTTAACAGCAAGCGTTTTAACGCGGATTGTTCATCTGTTTGAATACGAGCGATTAGAACTTAGTTCCAACTATCTAAAGAATCACGTGGATAGACGGTAATCGTTACATGCATTCACAATTAGGGTTTTCCATGGGCACTGGTTACAGCTCTCCGATTGATTGTGTTTGACTAACTATAATTTGGTAGGTGACAATATTTTACTGGACCCAATAACTCACCTGATCTGAACTTGATTTCCAACTGAACTCTGCTTCCTCCGTCCAAAACGCATGGCGCCTGCTGACAACCTTGCAGATTAGCTTCGATCAGGGAATTGCAAGGGCCTGTTGAATGTGTTAAAAAATGAAGCATGATGTAGAGTTTTAATGAGTTTCGTTGACAACCGTGTAGTGTAATTATGCACACAGATCGAGTTATCTATTCCATTTACATTATAATCACTGATAAATTTAGCAACATGGTACGTACATTTTCTCCAGTAATGTTGCCTACTGTAATATGTCATGTGGGGCCAACTATTGTCCGGCCGGTAAAACTGTAATAAACTTGCTAACACCGTAAATATTTTGGACGCAAATAATCAGATGAATCGGATCAGTCTGGCAGGAATGAAAATTACCATGTCCATAGTCACTCTTCAATTTGTAAATTCTAAACGTGCTTCTAAACGTAAAATGGTCTAACTTATGTCCTTGTTATAAACTCTGTTTAAAGTTTGTTTCTTTTAGTAGGTTTATTTAGGCTTACAATCGCAAATTTGAGCTTGGCATTAAAAGCTTGGTTACTTCACCGTTTGCTGACGAAGAACGTGAGCGAATTCACAGTAACTTTTGTTTTGTACGCCTTCTAAGTTTGACTCATGCATACTGTATGGAAATATTCACACTTCCATCTGAATGCATTTTCCGGTGGTAGCGACACAGTGTAATCAACTGAAACTATTAGGACACATTGTTGATAAAATTCATTTAGAAGGAGAAGGAAACACAAACATTTACAGATCCAGAATGCGGGTTAGTGTATGGCAATCGCAGTGAGAAGACACGGAGGTAAATGCAGATTTTAATTTAGAACTAAAAATAATATGTCTGTAGTCACTGTGAGACGTGATTCAACTGGATGGCCTATTCGGTTTGTATAGCGCAATTGCATAAAACTAGTAGGGCAGATAGTCCTCTCCAACGGTGGGTCTAAAAGAACAACACGTAGATTTGTCGGTATACGGATTTCCACAGTTTCCTTCCTCGGATTTCTGAATTACAGTGCTGGATTCCACTTGTGCTGCAGGATTACCGTGTAACGCGTGTTATTTCTGTATGCATTGTGCACCAATGTTTTTATTTTTTTATATTTTACAGTCTGTGCAAATTTGGTGAACATTCTCCGGCTACTGTCGGAGATATCATCGACTGGCACAACTGCCGTCGGTGTTCGCCATCTTAGCGTTCTTCTACAGTAATCTAACCTGTGTGGAGCAGCCACGTGACCTAAGGCTGAACTGGCATCAAAAGACAACCTCGAGAAATGCAACTGTCTGGATTTATTTGAACTAATGTCATCCGGAACCAACTCCAACTGACCCGATAGCGCAAAAGTAAAGCTGGTTGATTTGTGTCGAATTCGCTTTGTTTTGCATTGAGATTTTCCCGTAGCTCAAGCTCTTAAAACCTTAATTGAGCCATTTATTTTCATCCAACTTCCCTAGCTACTTCATCTAGTCTTCTCATCAGTTTAGTTCCGTTTATTATTGCATCCACAACGACTAGCCTCACTGGATAAGCTAAAGGCAGTGTTTCATACATCACGCATACAAAGCCAACGAAAACAGAGGCCCCGACCAAACCTCTAGCCAATCCTGATCCCCCTGCTAACCTTCTTTCAGAACTCAGTGATAAGGTCAACTCCTTGGAATCCCAACTCTCCGAGATGAGAAAAATAGTAACCATCGTAGAACCAGTTCGGGGCCACCTGGCTTCATTATACTATTTCAGTAACCCATGGGAAAGTCTTGATCCAGCCGAAATGGGAGAGGCAGGAGAGTTAAGTGCCTCAGTTGCATCCGCGGCACATGTACGATTGCATAGACTGCGAAATATTATTATTTTTAACATTGCTAATATACATAGTTTGGGTAAAGTTAATCCTGCAGTACTTAGGACATGAAACGTGTCCGAGATTGAATGAACATGTCTTGGTCTGAAAAGGAAAGCACCGAAACACCGCTGTCCAATCGCTATCAAATTTTCTTCTGAGGAATCCCCGAACCGATTGTTGAGTAAGCAGCGCACCATAGCCCAGCGAATCGAATTCAAAGACCTACTGATTAAACTAGATCGCACGCCTCTACCAAGGTCTCTTAGTGATATTTCGTCACAATCACCAGCTAAAACGGCTATTTGGGCTAAGCTCAAAAGGACAATTTATCTAATGTGGCAACTGTGGAAGTTTAGCAGTATCATCCCAATTTTGAAGGCAGTCACTGTACAGAGCCAGCAAACTATCGCCCCGTGACTCTCCTGCCTGTACTCGCAAAGGTGTTGGAAGCGGTCTTCGCTGAGGCTCTAGTGGACTACCTGGAAAAGCGCAGCGTCTTGGCCCCAGACCAGCATGGCTTCCGTCAACAGTGGTCATGCACCGCCAACCTACTGATTGCAAGCGGTAGTTAGACGGAAGTGGCTGATGATGGGGTCGGAGTTGACGTCATCTATCTGAATTTCTCCAAAGCTTTCAACGGCCTGCGTCACCGCATCATACTTAACTGACTACAGAGCTACCGAATCGGAGATCCGTTGCTTGGTTGGATTGGCAACTTTCTTCACCAACGGAAGACTCAACTACGCGTTAGAGGTCACTCACTAACCCGATTGAGGTGGAGTGTGGTGTCCCACAATGCTCAGTGCAGGGAGCGCGCTTACTTCGGGTGTTTTGCAAAGACCTGCAATAGTTATCTCCTCAAATTTCCTGCTTTCGCCGATGACGTCAAGATTTGGCGTGCGGTTAGTAAAAATGAATATCACGATCGACCCCAAGATGACCTAGATTGCATTTAAGAATCGTCACAGAGCAACCTGCTTCAGTTGAACATGATTAAATGCAAGGTGATCCATCTGCGTCACAAGCTTGGAGACCACACCTTGCAAACGGCCCCTCATGAACGTGATGAGGAAGATCTCGGGTGTTCAAAACATGCAGAGTAGGCGACGAGAACCGACAGTCAACACTTCAGCCTGTTCCACAGAGCCTTCGGCCGGTTTGAACTCTCAAGCTTTCCCCAAATGCTTAACGCCTAGGTGCGACCCCCGCACTGGAAAATGCTATCCAGGTGTAGCAGCTGTGGCAGAAACTGGATCTCGTTGCTCTCGAGATGTTCAACGTAGGGCAACCAAGAATATCAGGTGGGTCTTGAAAGACCCCCCTATCAACTTAGAATGAAATCTCTAAGAATGTACAGCAGTCGATATCGGCATTTCCGGGAGATTTTAGCATGGTTTACCAGATTCTGAAGAACGCAAATCACATTTTCCTCCTGCTGCTGGAGTTAAAACTGACAATACAGTATAGCCAGCTTGAATGCCGCAGAAATTTCTTTTCCCTTTGTGTGTGCCAAGCTTGGAACGTCCTCCCTATCTATGTCTTCTGTGCTCCCGATCTGGCGATATTTAAAAAACGAGTTGACGATGCGTTGTCTCATTTGCATTTCATTTATTATGACTTGTTAACCAGGGGCTATAAAATCCAATCAAAAATGTCTTACGAAACTTTCAACCAATTGGTTTATGCATTTAGACTTGATAAACGAACATCTCCGCTATTCAACACAAGTCTATAGTGAGTCCAACAAAACACTTTCCACTTTATCATGCAATTTACTTTTCGCCATAATTTACATCCCACGAGACTTTCTAAGCATTGCGTTTTTACCCGTAATACACCATTGTACCCTTGTTGCATCCACAGCTATCAAATGTTCCCGAATACCTTTGGTTGTCCGTCTCGGGAACCGGTTCTCACATTCTACTCGGATTCGATTACAACTGCCAACTGCGCCAACCGCGAATGTTACCATCATCAGTTCAGGATTTGAGTTTGCTGCTGAGATGCTACACAGAGAGAAGATAATTGCTGATGATTTAAACCTACCAAAGGCTAAGTGGTCCTCTCAACCATAGTCGTCTACGCTTACAGCTTTCCTTTCCTCTCTCAGAATTGGTGGCTGGATACAGGGGGTTACTGAGCCAAAAAGAGCGACCAGTATACTTGATGTCATAATCACTTTGGCGGTTACAAATCCACAAACAGAGTTATTAGACAAACGGTCTGGTACCGACCACAATATGGTACGATTCACTTTCTGCGTTAAATTGGCCACCAAACACGCTTACATTCCGCAATATGCAACCAAAAGTATAAACTGGAAACAGGTCCCACAATTAATCCGATCGTCCGATTGGGACGCATTCTTCCTCTTGAACCATGTGTGCACTGTCGTGGACTACATCTACCATCGGGTCCATTAAGCCATTGCTGTCCTTACTCCCCACAACAAGGGGATCACGCCTGTCCAAAAAGACGCAATCGTGAGTTCAGTCAGCCGGAAACACAGAAGATTAAATGTTGGATAAAGAAAGACGGGAAATTTCACCTTGCTTTTACAGTTGCACAACACACTTGACACTGTCATGGGTCTAGTGTAACTAAATTAATGATGTTTCGATGTTTCCGTAGCTGTTTTAACAGCATTTACTAGGTAGTCATCGGTAAAAGGGAGACGTCACTAGTCACAAATATGCATCATAGCAACTTTTAAAGCAAGTGTTACGGCTAATGATTTATGAGGGTAGTCTCTCAAAATTACCTAGCCACATTTCCACGATCCATCTAGCTGTTTGCCTATGTGCCCATACTGCAAGTCAGTAGCAATAATTTTATGCATGTTTAAGTCCGTATTTAATGGCAAACAGATAAGACAATTCAATGACGGATCCCATTCGACCATGAATTGCAAACCGGTTTCTCAATAGATTCCCACGTATCTCAGTGGCCTAGTGATTAACGCTTGGGTTGCTAAGCGAATGTTCCGTTGTCTAAGTCAAGCTTTAACTATCATCTTCAACCAAGCATGGATGGAAACTGGCTATGTGCACAGGGCTAGCAATGAGCTGCACTCAAACTCCTCTAACTCAAGTATGATGCCCTAAAGGCCATGTCATGAACCGCATAAGCAAGTTAACATCCATCTCATCGTGTAGGCACAAACTGCAAGATCCGGACCATCATAATTCGCTCGTCCACCTTCGTAAAGCTCCACTTCTCACAAAACTGCAAATACATACCAAGCTAAATCCTGATACGACAGTGACCAGTCCAATCTACACATTCGGATTACCATAGACCTTATGTCAAAAATCTGTCGGTTTTGTACAATACGTCCAAAAATCGATCCGTATACGTAAGAACAATGCAAATTCTGTTGGGTGTAGATATTATCGATGCAAACCTGACATG